GGGGGGGAGGGGGGTAAATAGATGGTTTTTTATGGCGGGTGCGGCAAGAGGACGGTCGGAAAAGGAAAACCCTCCAACCCTGACATCACCACCCAACGGACTATGAACTTGCTTGGTCGGAGGAGGAGGTGGAGGATGGAGGAGGAGGAAGAGGAGGAAGAGTCGCGAAGTAGCGGGCTAGGTGGTGGACGCGTGGCAGGGGGGGCCAGCGGCACATCCATTCACAAAGAGGAAAACTCATCTTGCGCCGGTCATGCTAAAACCAATACATAAAATTGTGCCGTCGTTTGTCGCTGTCCTTAAAAGAAACCCTAAGCCCTCCTTTTCGCCCTCCCTCAGCAGCCCATACGGTCTCACCTTAGGGTCTATCATGAGGAAGGGTTTGAAGGTGTTGCGGCTCCACTTCAGTTCGCTCTGGCCGGGGTGGTCTTCGGGCAGTAGAGACACCACCTCACCGCCCACTAACATGCCCTGAAGGGGGGGGGGAGCCCACCACATCACGAAACGAGGACACGACACATAACAGAGCAAGGACAAATAGCAAAGAGGACAAAGGAGGCATAACTACAACAATAAGACTCTCACTGCAACGAAAGTAGCAACAACGACAATAGTAACAGGGGAAGTAGTTCGTTGGTTGGTTGGTTAAGTCAGTTGGTCACTGGGCGCGTGGGCGGGAATGCATGTTAGTTGCGATGTTGAATGGGCAGGTCGGGGATAGGAAAGAGGGCCGGTAGAGGGCAGGGCGGTTATAAATAACGACCCCTGGGTCGGTTTGTGAGCCAGCGACGTGGGGGAGGTACAGGTGGAATAACCACCACCACCACCACCACTTTCTCCTCCCCGCCTTCGCAACGGCGTTTCCCCCCTCCTCCTGACCTCCTCCGCCATCTCCGCCTCCGCGCACTGCCGCAGACTGCCGTGTTTCCGAGGATCAAACCCCCCCGAGGGGAAGCAGTACATCAGGCGGTTGGGGCCCTGGGCATATTCCCGGACCACTGTAACCTGCGAAGGGGGGGGAGGGGGGGTTTTGCTGGATTCAAAGGGAGCCAGTGCGCATGTTTGTTGCATGTCGCGCCGGTGGTCGGTGAATTCCTTCCTCGCAAAAATATCAAAGCTCTAAGAAATATCAAAACAAAAAGTTCCGTAAATCGTTGTTCCGTACCAGGCCCAGATGATGGCCCAGTTCCACGCCGTACCAAGGCCCCCAAACCCCCGAAATCACTGTCCTCTCTCCCCAAGGGCCCTTCAGGTGCCCCAGCGCCACCAGCTGTCCCCTTTCTCCTCCTCTTCCTCTTCCTCCTCCCCCCCTCCCCCTCTACCCACTCCTATTTCCCTCCTCCGTTCACGCACATATTCATATGCGGACCGCTTCATCACCCGAATCCCTCACTCCAGCCCCAAACCCCTGGTCGTGCCCTAATTTCTAAAAGAATTCCATTCCAATCCCTGGAGTCCGATTCCGACATCTGGACCCTTTTCCCTTGGGAAATCATTCGTTCGCTGCGCCCATTGTGTAAAAATTTCTAAGGGTAGAGGCTTCCCTCGTTTGACACGCCTCATCCCTCTAGTTGCCAACCCCCGCTTCTCCCACCTGTGCGAGTGTCGTCTCCGTGGCAGGGTGGAACGGCAGCGCCACCGCGAAACAGAAGCTGCAGCTTGGGTGGCCCACCACGTCGTAGTGCAGGCAGTGGGGCTTGGGTTTCGAATGTGTACGACGTGTTGACGTACAGCACGGTGTGACCAGGTTCAGCGCGTGTGCGTGCGCGCGGAAGAACCGCAGCAGTGGCGTCGCCGGGTGGTATACGGCAAGGCGGGGGGTTAAGAGACACGGGGGAGGGGTGGAGAGGGTTGGAGTTGGGGGGCATTGGTGTGAGAGGAGTTAGTCTGGGACTTGGGGGCTGGGGGCAGGGTATGTGACGAGACGAGTGTGTCGGGTGTGATGGATGGGTCACCACATTTGTGTGCATGCGTGGGCACGCATATGTTTGTACACGTAAGTACGAGTCTGTATGTGTATGATGATGTTGTCACAGGGTGGTAAAGCTTCACCAGCGGCCCCTTTTCCCTTGGAGGCAGTTCCCTGCTCTCCCCTGCGAGAGAAGCACCCTAATCCATTCACCCCATCCGATTTCAGAATGTGTATGTCTGCACGCATGTCTGCATGTGTGTACATCGGGCGGGGAGGCGAGGAGGGATAGAAGGTCGTTGCCCTTTACTGCCGCGAGCCATCTTACCTCGCCATTGTCGGGGGTGAATGTGACAACACGGTCATACATAGTCATGTACCTGAGCAAATATAGAGGTACGACATGGGCGCTTAGGAGTGGCTAGTGGTATTGACCGGTATTAGGAACATGACGAGGCCTGAGGACACTTCCCTGAAGGGCTATACCATCCGGGACGTTCACGTGCTCACGTTTCGGTGCGGGGAGGAACCCATCCGCCCACGCGCCCCTCTTTTGACTTAAGAAGAAGGCGCAATATACTATCCAAAGCCCACAAAAGCACCGCTACCGAGCGTTGCGCGACCAACCTTTTGTAGACAGGTCGATCCTCCGTGATGTCAAACCGCTCATGCCACGGATGTGGGTCATCAACAGAGCCCGTTGGGAGAGTGGTTGGAGCTACAAAAGGGTTGAGAGGTAAGGGTCTCCGAATTCAGAACCCCACAACCCCGGCAGGAAAAAGCTCTTTGTGAACCGGTGATCGACACGGGAGGTTGTAACCAAGTGACTGCCACATATAGAGCTTTTTTCCAGAGGTCAAAAACTCTACAAAAATTCACCAGAGAAACCAGCGACACCACACACAAACGGCGTTGACGACGCGGTTGAAGCATACCTTCCGCCCTTTCAAGTGCGCTTGCCGCAGGACCAGATTGGTTTGTCGAAGCCATCCTTGTGCGCAAAACCAATCTGCAATAATCTGAAGTTGGAAAAAGAGAAGGCTGTCGCGTGCACGCCTTGCTAAGCGATGCGAATCTACACACCGATCGTGCTTTCATTAGCTGGGACGTTGTGCTTCTAAGTTACATATAGTTGTTGCATAAACATTGATGAGTTGGATGCCCTTGATTCCCTCGGCAAACTTGCCAAATTGAAGTGTTTTGATTGGTAGAATTAAAAAACAAGCAAATGTGCTTTATGTGACACAACCAATCCGTCCATACGCTGCTTTATCGAGAAGGCCTCCTTTGAAGAAACTAGTAACCACTAAGAAAACAACTGCCGGCACCAGCAGCTAACCGTATTACCTGCCACACGTATTACCTGCCTGTGTCAGTACTCAGTAGCTAAGTTGTCAATACGTGGTCTTTCCCAGACTCTAAGCATTCCTTTATCTTTTTAAGGCCTCTTAACGGCTGAGGCGATATGTTAGGTCGAGCTGCTGAGTCTGAGAAGATGCATATGCACCTTAAACTGGGCACATCACATGGTCCCAGAGCATTGTTATTTTCATCACATCTGGGTGCATTGCATCCTGCATGGTGATCCTTCCATGTGATAAACTTGTCTATCCGCATAATGCAGACAATCCACACCTCTAATTCACCGTGACGCGCAAAGCCCTTGACATACATAATCCATACAGCAGTTTACATTCTTGATGTCGACCATCACACGCTTGATACACCTGCTAAAAACTAGAAGCTACAAGTATGATAAAAGACACGTAACATGTACAGCACCAAGCAAGCATCTGCTGCTTGTCCAAGCCCTCCAAAAGGCGGGGGGTAGGTGGAACATCGAATGCCCACAGCACAAACCTATCAGACTGCTGTATACACAGGAACCATGCGCACGGATCTGCCACTACTCCTGCTATGCCGACTGGGCACCATGCATGGTAGACCAAGTAATAATAAGCCAGTTCCTGCCGTCGGCGGAGCCCCCACTAGCGGGGTGGACATCCACAGGCCTCATGTTACTGTAACAAAACACACGCACAGGGTAGGCAAGAGGAATGCTGGAGCCGCTGCCACGTTGACTGACACACGCCAGCAATGCATCGAGGTGCCGTCCACCGTAAGGGCAACCCACCGTTCTGGATACCTAGAAACAGGGGCATCGGTCCCTGTACAGCAGCCGATCGGGCTGGCTTGGACAGGTGCACCTCCTAGCCTAAAGATGAGGCGGCTGGGAGCGTGGGTGTATGTGTGCGTGGGCAATTTCCCCCCAAGTTTATCCTCCAAACCTACACACATATTCTTTGTATGTGTAGTTACAACTCAAACAACGGAACATAAGCACCTTGGAATCTTCCGATTAAACAATGCCGGGATCATTGGAGTTTTCTTCCGCCGCCTTGCCACGTGGCTACTGCCTGGAGATCACATACATACATACTTACTTGCGAGCTGACCAGGAACTAAGTTGAGGCGCCGTTGATCCGCTAGATTTGGTTGGATGCTGGTGGTGAGTTGCTGAACCCAACGAATGCATTCTGAAGTCGGATGGGGTGAATGGATTAGGGTGCCCCTCTCGCAGGGGAGAGCAGGGAACTGCCTCGGGAAAGGGGGCCGCTGGTGAAGCTATACCACCCTGTAACAACATACATACAGTCTACAGAGAGGCGACCACTCCTAGATAGAGAAGTGTAGCTGCATATAATTCGTGAAGTCGACAGCTAATAAGCATGTATGTTATGTGTTTCTTTATCATTTCATGCGACGCGTGACGAAGTCCCCGGCTCTCTGCCAGCTACCAAGCTAGCAAGGTTAGGTGCGCGTTGGCGATCTGTCGCGACAGGTTATCATCAGCCACGATGTGTCAGTGAGCGGTGCGCGATGCATGTATGCATGCATTCAAGGATTGCATGATGAGGAATACATGATGACGCCTGCTGGCGATATCAGCAGCAGATTGACGTGGACGACATACATCGTGGCTTCCAGCTATCTAGGTGGTCATGTGCTGCTGCTGCTGCTGCTGCTGCTGCTGCTGCTCAGTTTCCTTGCTGCTGGCTGGACAGTTTATTGGGGACCGCTATTGGCACATTGGCAATGCGTTGTTGATCACCCTCCGGGCGTGATGGGAGTTCACCACCCCGAGAGCGATGATCAGCGCAAGCAGGGCAAATGACTGAAGGAGGAAGCCCGCGAAGGACACGTTCACTGCGGGCACACCATCAAGTGCACATAAATAGTCAGGCCAAGCTGATTAATACCGAGCAATAAACTATTGGTGCTTAATGATGGCGGGTTGTTAGTGTGCAGCATGTAATTACATACAAGTATACATGCGTGCCTCATCATGCATGCATGTGTGTGGGCAGTTTATTCTCACACCGACCTGACTGCAGGCGATCCTGAAAGGATGCCATTCGAGTCCTGGAGTAGTAGTACCGGCCGCTGTCAAGAAGTACTCGCTCATTGTACATTCGTGCGACGTTTTCCATGGAAACGGAGGCGCATGCCACGCATAATGCCTGTGCAAGTACACGTACAAGAGCAAGGAATTCGGGCCGTTGTAAGACCAGGCAAAGAGTACTCAGGGAGATGCCAAGGGAGCTGAACCCTTCTTACATTCCTGCCCCTTCGAGCGAACGTCCTCGGGCGCCCCTGCAGCTGGGCATATCCCGTAGGATCTTGGTTATGTGATATCCCGTAGGATTGTGAGTTTCTTTATTATTATGACATTTCCTCAGTCCCTGTCCGAGATGGAGGTCTCTAATAATTTTCTCAGCTGGTAGACTCTTCTCCCACCCGGGCTTCCACCTATGGGCAAGGAGTATGTTGGAATCATATCAGGTATGCACTATGTTCACAATCGAAGTCGATCCGGGGAATTCCCATCTCCTGGCCAATCGCACCAATTTAACACCAGGCAAAGAGTTCTCAGGGAGATGCCAGGGGAGCCGAACCCTTCTTACAGCCATCCAGTGTCAACTGCAGGGCTGCATTAATGCAATATTGCCAAACAAGTCGACTTATAATTATGGACAGCACCTCATAGGCAGGAACAACCGAGCGAGGGGGTGATTACCCTCACTCCACATCTCAGCAGCTAGCCATAATCTCGCGCTCCCGACTAATTCGGATTGATATGCATGTCGTGGTAGGTGCTGGAGCACGTAAGCATGACACGATCCTTGTGGATGGCAAGCGAAGTTTGAGCAATTTTGCTGTACGGCGGCCAGGCATGGAGCCTTTTTGCGCTGGCAGAGGCCATGGACAGGGCGGGAAGGCGGCCGGGTAATGCCAACAATGCGGAGAGCATGTTCGAAGCTTGTTTATTGGATAGCGCAGTCCACCTACATATTATGTTCATGAGGCTGATAGTGGGGGCGGCACGGCCATCCCACCGGTTGTTGTATGTGGAGTTGGTTGAGCTTCCCCTACAATATTACATGGTCAAACAGATCCTTCATTTCTGGAATAGCCTTCAAGAGCAAGTGGGCTCCAATGCTCATGTGGTTTTACGGCAGGAGATAACCGACGCTTCTGACCAACCCGGAATGGAAGGGTTGGGGAGCCTCGATGCTACGACTTGCAATGTTTAGAGCGGAATATCGCAAGAAGTTGTGGGGTTAAGGAGCGTGTCGACTGGTTGCTGATTAAGCCTCTCCCCGAGGGAGGGAACAGTGGTAACGGCACTTAGGGAACGTTGATGTGCGGCTGGGGCCATGCTCGTCTGACTGTCTTGCCAGAGGAGTACCCATCGGATGGGAAACTACCGGGATGTGGTAGCTGTACGCAGTACGGCACACATCACAATTTATAAGTACTCGCGGAGCTCTTGACCAGCATCTCGGGAGGCCTTTTCAGCGGCCAGCTACTTCACCTACCCGGGAATATAGATTGCGGAGAATAAGCACTGACGGGGCTGCCCTTCTAGGGAGCAGCAGCCGTCATGTGGCCAACACATGCTAAGGCTTTCATTCCTCGTCTAGCACATCGTAATCTAATGCAGTTTCGTTTATGTTGCTGAGCTTTGGAGGCAAACATAGCTCGAAGGGGCAGGCATCATCTCCCCAGGGAGAGCTGGTGTCGCACCAATAGCCATAGTAGCTGGTACACAGTACGGCACACATATCAAATACAAAGACGCGCGAAGCGCTTGATCAGCATCTCGAGAGGCCTTTTTAGCAGCCAGCTACTACAATCACCAAGCCGAGGATGAAGAACAAGTGTTAATGGAATGCTCGGCCTATAATGATATTCACGCGCAAGAAGTATATTATTGCGCTCTCCACTGACCTGCAGAGTGCTTGTCCACAGGACGGTCTTTCGAAGGGCCACCAGGACTAGTATGACGACTGACAGCACGACGCAAAAGGAGATTCCCCACTGCATGCATGCATGCATATGGTCAGCATGAGTCGGGTCACCAGATCAGAGGTGGTGCATAATGCCCTTGTTGGGACTGTAAGCAAGGATGACCAATTTTGCAATGGCCGTGTAGGTAGCATGTCTTAAGGTGAGACGAACTTGGTCTGGACCCGTATCTGCCCCAGTACGGGGGATGACCAGTTACTGGCCGGTTGCTAATAAAAGGGGGTGATCAGCTACCGAACTGAACTTACCCAGTAGTTGCTCAGCACATCAGAGCAGTACTTGGGGTCGGAACCATAGTCCGTGCATGATTTGTTGTACTGAGGCATGTATAACGAGAACATACATCATCATCAGCAAATCATCATATGCATGTGCACATGCAAAAGATTAATGCATGTTTTCGACGTTTCTTATTAGATAACCCTACCTACCTGCCGAGCGAGAACATGCATAGCTAGACGTTGAAACGTTTAGACAAATCTGTCCGGCAAATTATTCCAAAACAGACTATACATAGCGTTTGATTGGTTCGCGCCCTACTTATTTAGGCTACGTGCACTACCGAGCGCCTCAGCCAACAGGGCCAAACAACTGCAGATCACAACAGCCCATAATAAACCGAGCCAAACAGGCCTTAGCAGCTTGTTTGGCCCTGTGGAAAACCCAAATGAGTTGGTAATGTTGCATCGCCTATCGATCGTGCCCTGCTGGCATATTCAATAGGATCCACCGCCCTACCTACTAATATACCAGGACAGAACCTATAGAAGATTATAAAGTGTTGCAGACGTGGTTGGTTATAAGCAAGAAGCGATTGACGCGTACGCACTGCTGCAGCTGCGGCAGTTCCGCTCACCTTCGCGATGCCGCCTAACGCAACTATTGACCCACCAACGGCAAGCGCTGCAGTTAAACATCCAGCTACGTATGCAGCTGCCATTTCTGTTGAGAATTTCCCGCGGGATGAAGGTCGAAAGCTGCAAGAAGCTAGCTTACGCTGGCTTACACTTCTATCCTGTTGCTCTGATAATAAACCTGGAGCAATAAATCAAATCTTACTTTAAACAACAGGCGTGCACATTTACACGTAAGCCTGTGCGGGATTACGACGCTGCTGAGTCTTATATATTGCATGCAGGACGATCGTCCTAGCGAGGCAGGGCGCGCGAGGCTCTGCTGTACGCACATCAATATTGATTAATCGAGTCTGGATTTTGCCGGGTCCTCACCTGTAGCTTCCATATGTATTCCTAATGCAAAAACTGCTTAGCTCTCGGCCGGTGGCACAACCAACTGGTTGGTGCTTGTATGTTACGATCACGAGCCATGGCTGGCCAGCAGCCAAACGGCAGCCAAGGGTCCCCGCCGATGGGACCTACGCACCCATCGGTTCTTGCACGTCACAGCGCTTGGTTTTGGATGCGGCCCTTACTCCGATCTCCAAGCCTCTGCTGGTGGATAGGAGGGAGCCCTTGCTACTAGGTTGTATCGTACAGTTCAAATTCCCTATGCAATGTATATATATGATGATGACCACACATACTTTTTCATTCTAGCTGCCTGCTTGGTGTTCGCTCTGCTCTTGTAGCCCTCTTGCTCATGGATGTCTGTCTCTATAGAGACTTAGCTAAGGACCTCCCTCTCAGACAGCAGGCATTTGAGGCATGTAGTTCTTGTTCATCTTTATTTCCACTTTTTAACGCTTTACTCACTTAAAAATTGTCATAATGTCTGTTTCTGTCTTGGTTGGCGACAATTCCGCTGGTTAGCGTTAGCTAGGAACGTGGTACGTGCCCTTTTCAGGGCTTCAGCAGCTGCAGGCATTATTGCTTGGCAGTACCAAGCACCTCTGGGCTAGTGACCGACGTGGTTGTTGGTGCCCCTTGCAAGTTGTAACTTGCACATTACATTTGCATATGCATATGCGTTAGGATGCATATGTAGCCTAACATGTCTAGCATATATCAGGGCAACATATGACAATCCCGATCCCCACCCTAACGTGGCCATGGCCTACATCTAGCTATACCATTGCCCCGCATTTGCGCGGAACTTGTAACATACGATGAGCCGCAGCCGCAGCCGCAGCCGCAGCCGCAGCCGCAGCCGCAGCCGCAGCCGCAGCCGCAGCCGCAGCCGCAGCCAGAGGCTCAAGCAGATGACCCATGTGAACGGTGCCTCTCGACCCCCGCGACCCTTGACCGCCACCTCAGCCGCCAGGCCAGAGCAGAGCTGAACTCCTGCGGTGATAACCGGCTCACCATTGCAAACTTTCTCTACTCTTGCTGTCCTTCCCACCCCGGCACCTGGGGATGATGTCATGTTTGAGGGATGGCCCCGATCGATGGCACCACTACTAGCATAACCCTATTCCATCCCCAATTCCGTAAGGGTAGCTACGCCAAACGCATGCATGCATGCGCTTCCTTGCACTTAAATCTGGTAGGAGATGAAAGGGGGGATGGAGATAGGGCGAGCAAATAGATAAGCTACGCACGACATCATGCATGCCCTGGAGGCAGGGCTGCCCAACCAGGAAAAGCTTAGAGCCAAATAAAATGTTTACTTTAGGCGGTACGGATTATATCCAAGGGACATGCATGGTTCTTATGTAATGGATGCCGCATGCCGCCATGTGCGAGGGTAACAGACACCGCCACAGAATATACACATCACCAGCACCCGTCGGAGTGTACATGCTTTCCCCACAGCTCGCTCTCAATCAACCGAGTCCCCGACCAACGAAGAGAGGTCAAAATGTGGCCCAACCTTCTCACTGTCTTCCTAATTCCTATTCCCATATTCACACTGAACGTGATTCACAATCAGTAATACCCCCCTGACGCGCAAAGCTCTTGGCGGACATACATACAGCAGTTACGTTCTTGATGTCGGTCACACGGAAGTTGATACACCTGCTGCAGGCACGAAGCTAAACAGTATGATGAAGACACGTAACAACACCAAGCGAAGCTATTGCTCGTCCAAGCCTTCCAATGTTCGGGGTAGGCAGGTGGGACATCGAATGGCCCCCAATTTGCAACATGAATCCATCAGTCTGCCGGGCACCCACTCATCAGGGCCTTCAACAGGGCCAAACACACAGGGCCAAACAGATTGTAGCACCCTGTAGTAACCAGTAAGGCCAAACAGGCCTTAGCAGCTTGTTTGGCCCTGTGGAAAGCCGGCCCGGCCAATGAGCCGGTAGGGTCGTGCGGCAGCAGTGTGCACCCACGTTGACTTGCATGCAACCCCCTTGGAGAGCCGGCCACCCGGATTGTGAGCCATGTATTCTCGTTGATGATGCTTTGCATGCCTTCGGGCAGATGCATGATCGCTGGCTAGCCAGGCGTGCTCGCTATTGCGTGGCTAGTTCGTCGGCTGTTGGAAAGACACCAGGGCCCTTTATCTATTGCAGCTGGTTCGTCGTCGGCACTGTCGGGTTGACATTCATAAGCCTCCGAACCTGGACGCTGTTCACCACACCGAGAGCGATGATCAGCGCAAGCAATCCAATTGACTGAAGGATGAAACCTGCAAAGGACACGTCCACTGCGGAGGCAGATACACCAGCAGCCGGCAGCATGCAACGATGGATATAACACCACCAGCAATAGTAGCTGTAGGGACTTCAGTGCACACGCGTACGGCTGGTCCAAAATTTGACATCACCTATGGGCGACACCCCTATGTAGTAATAGGTAGGGACCATCCCTACTGGCGTAGATAGATGGCGCGGTGGGCATGTTATAACACAATGAATATGTGTGTTACATGGTCGTGGAGTGGGATATACTATATTGATCACCTATAGGCGTCACCTCCCTGTATTAGGAAGTAGGGGCCATCCCTACTGGCGAGAGTATTTTGCTTACGGTAAGCACGCGTGCAGCCACACACAGAACACATGATACACAGCCAGAATCCATTGTTTGCATGCAAGCGATTATCCAGGCTGCCGCCTTTCGTACATCCATAAATTTAACAACGACACCATGCTTTTGTTGAGCAAAGCAAGCCAGCAAGGCGGCAGCCAGCAGACGAAGCGGCATGATGAAAATGATGTTGGAGCACTTGTGATGAGTCATAGTGCTACTTAGTAAGTAGATATTGCATGTATATGAAAGTAGACGTGTATTTGGACGGCGGGTAGAAGGACGGGCGGTTAGACATAGGAATGTACGACATGCACGCCGTCAGGGACGGATGAGTGGATACGAGTGTGGATAGTACGAATGCTATGACAGACGGACGGATACGTATGATTAAATGGATATGGATGGACATGCATACAAACGGACATGCATGTACATACGGACGGACGGTTGGATATGGAGATAAAGGTGGACAGACGGATATATATCCGGACGTACGGAAGGGCGAACGGCTGACGGATGCATAGCTAGCATACAGACAGCGCAGCAGGCAGGCGTGCACACAGGGAGGCGAAAGCTAGCGGTCAGGCAGGCAGAGCGGTAAACGTCGTGAGGAAATAAAATCTAGCAGCGAAACGATATAAATATAGAGTTATGGCGGACTTAAACGTGAGATTGGGCGGCATGTAGAGTGTGGCTGCATATTAGTGCAACAAGTGAGAAGTGAGAGTAGCATTAAGTTCCAATAGCGTTAGGTAGATTACCGTAACGACATTTGGTACTGTCAAGCTAAGGTAACACAGTTTGAGAAAATGGCAAGCCGTACGGCTGCCGTACGTAATCTTATTTATAGACTGTACGTACTCGCTTCGCTCCTGCCTGCCACATCTAATAAGATGCTATTATTAGATGTTGCAAAGTATGCCGACCTGTTGATCATGTATGCATGCATGTGCACCGACGATCTGATCTCTGCACGGCAGCAGTTCTCGTGTGCACCGACCTGGAATTCGACGTTCCCTGGCGTAACCATCATACCAGGAATCGTTAATTTGTTCCTCAAGTTGTACCTTGGTCATGTAGATCGATGCGGCGTTGCTCATGGAAACCGAGGCACAGGCCGCACAGAATGCCTGAGGGGCGTGCGCATATAGATGTTTCCGAAAGGGAAAGCAAGCTTGGGTTACCCGGAATCCAGTGCCAAGTAATGTATCCTGTAAGCTATCCTTTTAAACTCGCTGCCTATCCTCTCTCTCTCTATCTGTCTGTCTGTCTATCTGTCTATCTAGATCTGTCGGGGTAACCTATGTTTGAACTAATGCCACCCGAAAATCGCGGTCATACTGCTGGCTGGGGTCTTATCGGTGTCAGGCCCAGCAGCAGGTGCATTCTGCTGCGAGTACCTAATCAATCGATTTGCCTCAATCAGCACCTTTCGATACCACCATTCATTAATTGTGGCATACACTACACAAATGTATGTAGATGCCGTATATTATTGCGCTCTCCACTGACCTGCAGAGTGCTTGTCCACAGGACGGTCTTTCGAAGGGCCGCCAGGACAAGTATGACGACTGACAGCACGGCGCAAAAGGAGATTCCCCACTGCATGCATGCATGCATATGGTCAGCATGATCATAGAGGAGGAGGAGGAGGAGGCATTTACAGTGTCATTGCTAAGTTCGTATTTACAGCGGAAAGGCATGCAAAGCAACACGTGGAGTGCCAGCTTCCTTGAGAGGCCTCTCCACCCTAGGGTGTAAACTTGCAACATCTACTCCATGCGTGGGATGCAGCGAGTGCAGTAATCTGGGCTTATCACGGGATCTGCATCTGCCGATCGGTACTTTTCTGAAGTCATGATATAACAACAAATTAGTTGATATCAACTTATTGGCTGCTGGGGCTTTCATTTTTTATTTCGACAGGGTCAAATAGGGCCAAACAGATAGTAAAGCCCCCTAATAACATCAGAGCCAAACTGGCCTAAGCAATCTGTTTGGCCCTGTTGAAAGTCCAGTAGCGCGTTGGTAGTCGCGAAGCTTTCCAGGACAAGTCAGATTGCAGGGCAGGGCCCCTGCAAGCCCGCAAGCCGGTTGACCCTGGAGGACGGCGGGACTAATTTCCGTCGAAGCAGTACTTCGAGCGAGCCGTACCCGTGCAATAACAGGCAGCAGGTACCGTGAGCAGGCCAATTCTTGCCGGATTCCTTAGGAATGAAATTTCCAATAATGGCGAACACAATACAAGTTTTCCAAAGCACTTTGCGGTTTAATCTGGTTTTGCAGAGACGCACGCCGAGCGAGGCGCAGCCGCCTGCAGGCGGAGGCGCAGCCAGCCGCAGCAGCCGCCAAGCAATACCCGGGACCTCCGCCGCCCCCATCATTCCCCCTGCCGTACGTGCAAGACGTTCCAATTGCAGCGTACGGAACCTACCCAGCAATAGCTCAGCGCATCAGAGCATCGCGTAGACTCGCCGCATAACTCCTTGATCTGAAGCAAACGAACAAACGAACAAACGTGTCAGCCAAACATGCTACACATCGATCTGTCAAAACATGCGTGCGACGTTTCTTATATATCCCTACCTAGGCTTACCCAGCGAGGAACATGCATGCCCTATGCAAGACATTCGGCCGCCTAGGGCAGCAGCAGTCATATCAGACAGAGAAAAGCTTAAGCATGGCCTTTGGCTTAGACTAGCTAAAGAAGGCTATTTGGTTGCCTGGTATGGGGCAATGCGTGTGACGTACGCTGCAGTTGCACTCACTTTCCCCATGCCGCCCGACGCCACAATGGACCCACTGAAGGCAAGAAATGCAAGCGCAAATGTGGCAATATGCTCAGCTGTCATTTTTATTGGCAGGACGAAGGTCACACGCACTCAAGCTTAAGGTGGATTGGCTCGGCCAGGGCCGGCGAGCTTTGAGCAAGAATAATGGTTTTCGATTGACACTGTCCTGCTTATAAGCCTTGATCAAATAGATATTACCTGAAGAGTTTATCTGCGTATATAAGCTTGTTCGGATTGCCGATATGCGTGCTCGCTTCGTACGTCTGGATTTGAGCCTCGCTCGTAACTCGAGTGGTTGAGTGACCGACCGACTTAATAGTTTGTTGGCCATCTCTATAATAAAATATATAATGGCCATGAAACCTTACTTTTGGAAAATTGCATCCTAGCTACCTTGGTTGTGACTTTTACAAGACGAAACTGTTGTTAGTGGACGTACTATCAGTGCTTTTAAAAACGGTTACTAGTGACCAAGTGGTTACTAAAAAAATAATTCCCTTCAGGTGTCGTCATTAGGAAAATTTTGGAAAACCTGCAAGTAGCCGGGTGACCGCCTGGAAGTTGGGCCGCAGACCCCCGCCAGAAAGTTAATTGACGCTTGGATGAATGCTGTGTAAAACCCAGCGAACCATCACTAGGTTCGGCTCATGAACGCGTTGCCGTACGTAGAGTTCTCTGAGAAATCCAAGGCGGATCCAAGGGTAGATATGCAGAAACGTTTCCTAAGGGGGTTTGTTGGTACAAAGCTACCTCCCAATAGGCAACTTTTCGCGGAAACCTCGCAGCTACCGCGGCCGCTGCACCATTTTTCCGGGCACAACTAGTTTTCCGTTTTGGAACCTAGTCAGTATGCAGACGGCAACACTGGCGCGTGCCTTGTTGGAGGGCGAGATCGACGCATGGCTTGAAGCAGGGCGACCGCGTGGGCACTTCTGGAAGCAGGGAAGGTGCTTGAAGTCTCCCGTTATCTTTGGCTTTGATTCAGGCCACATTTATGCGAGGGACATAGCAGCGCCGAGAAGGCACTTGTTTTATTGCGGGACTGGAGCTCCCAGTCGACGCGCTGCTGAGGGAGTTTAGAAAGAGGTGGTTGGCGGATTGGGAACAGCCAGAGATCGCAGTGGACCCCGGGGTCTTCCCTAAGTTTACGGGGAGGGATGCGAACTTGGATAGCCCAGGCGTCACCGTCTGTCGCCTTCTGCAACTTATTGCATGTGGATGTGAGTTAATCTCATGACGAAGTTGCGAGGCAACAGTTCGAACGACGTACTTGATTCCCCACTTCCGGCACGCCTATGATACGCTAACGTTGCACACATGCCTGGAATAATTGCTCGAAGACGAGACTTCAGTTGCTGCGGCAGCAAAGACTCAGCATGTAGGCACATACATATGTGTGTGTGTGTTACATGGTTGGGGGGTGCGTGACCCCATACCTGTAAAACTACACATACGAGCCGAAGGCCCAAGGGCAATACTACAACGCCTAAAAGCCACGGAGAAAAGGAAACTCCGCACATCAGCCCAGACTAGCGTCCAAAGGGGGTAACTGAGTTTCGGTTCATACATATATACCAAAATTTAGCAGCTACAGATGACATTAATACAGGAGCGTGCGACCAAGCATTGGAGCATGGTCCGCCACCATACCAAAGCGAACCAATGAAAGGCTAACCATCATGAGAATTGGACGGGAAGTCACCAAAATCGCATACACTATGGTACACAGGCATGCACCAGCAACTGCTCATCCGGCCCACGCACCAGCGGCTCATCCTTCAAATCCGGTCTTGCTTGCTTGTATTGTTAGGCGTTATGGGCGAGCGAACAGATAGAGCCCCCAAACGAAGCGAACAAGTGAGCTTTTCCAGTGGATGGATCCATATAGAAAGCTCGTCCACATCCATCATCTCGGTATGCATGACACACAAACCGCTTCTACATGTGTACCAACATGACCGCGTCTGCCAGCGAGCAGCAGCCACCCCACACATGACATCGGCGGTGCAGCAGTCTCAGACTGATGGTGGGCTACCATCAGCAGTACACTACATACTGCCCAGTAGTAGTAGTAGTCAGGCAGCTTGGGCTCTACCTGTAGTATCCTGTAGGGCGTGTATCACCGCCACGGGATCTGCAACCGCCGATCGGTACTTTTCTGAAATCGTGATACGACACCTCGGCCTGCCCGTTAGTTTATCCTGTATAGGTAGCTACCTGACCCGCCGCGGCGGGCCCTGCCTGCTGCCCTATGGCATAAACATGCCGGTTACCGACCGTTGGGCCCAT